TCTTGCCCAGAGGTCCAGTATCTATCAAGGTCAAGGGACAGACCGGGAACACCCCACAAGAGCTGCAGGTGACAGGAGCCCCGATAAGCAGATAATCAGTGTTATTCACTGTCACTGTATTAGGGCTGATCTGTGTATGTTTAATAGTGCTTTAGTTTAGTTTAAATATATAATAACAAAATGACAATATGTCTAATGCAAAATAACAATTAACATTAAAATAAGTGTTTGTTCTGTAATTATACGTTGATTTGTTTGTTAATTGACAGATAATACGTTAAAGAGCCAAAAAGTTTTTATTCACTCACAAACATTGACTGAGGGTCAGGGACAAGAACAAACACGTCGACTTGATGGAGGGTGTGAAGCGCTTCAGCTAGCAGTTAGCTTCTCATCAAAATCAGTGTTTCGATACTGGAGCTGTCGTCATGACAACAGCTGGACCGTGTGACGAAACGACAGGTGGGAGGAGAGGAAAGAAGGAAGGAACTGATGAGAAAGGATGCAAGGAAGGGAGGGATGAGGTGGGAAAGGAGGAGACATAAAAAGGAGGAAGGCAAAGAAATGAGGGAGCATTTAAGGAGGGATGGAAAGGAAAGGAAATACACGATGAAGGAGAAGGATATATGGAAGGAAGAAGTGTGTTAGGAAGGAAACAAAGAGGTAGAGAAAGAAAGGAGGATGTATAAAAAATAATAAAAGGTGGATCGGGAAAGAAAGAAGGAGGTTGGGAAAAGATTAGGACACTGCGGATGAAGGGAGGAAGGAGAGGAACGAGGGAAACGTCCTGCTCTGTCTTGCTGAGCTCCTGTCAATCAAAACTTCACTTAAGGATGTCACAGAGACGCTGTGATGTCGTCTGTGTCGGCCAATGACAGCAGCCGTTGCCTTAACGGTGAGCAGCTGGGTGTGGTCACATCTCTGTGAGCTGAGATAAACGCCTGCCAACACACACACACACACACAGACACACACACACACACACACACACACACACGTTACTGTAACTGTTGCGTTGTGAGATTTCTTGTAACTGAGCGAGAACGAAACCAAAGGTGACAGGCGGCCATGTTAGACGCCTTCAGCTCTGTCTGTTTCTGATCAATACATTACTGATCAGTCTGATTGATAATTCATCAACCAGGACCTTCAGTATTTAAATGAAGTGAAAAAGGAGGCCTGAACGTGTAGCATGCTAGTTTATTAGCATGCAACCATAGATAGTAACACGAGTTTATATGTTTTATATTCTAGGTCCATAATGTCTGAATGTCCTTATCAATATTATTATTAATATCAATAGTTAGTTAATTACTTTCACATCTTTATTATTAAATATTATTATTATTTGCAATTCTGTACGTATGTGTTGTGTTGAGTCTGGCGCCCCCTGTGATTTCAAGGGGAATCCGGCTCAGCTGCAAACATTAATAATAACTATATAGAAATATAAAATCTTCTCTCTGATGTTTGTTTATGTTTTGGTCATATTGAGTGCTTAAATTTCACTTATCTATAAATCTATAAATATGATTAAATATAAATAATATATTATCAAACGATTAATCTTGATAATATATATTCAAATTCACTCATTTATTACAGTTGCATGCATTATTATTTGTAGTACATTACATAAATAAAAACTTTTAGTTCCTTGTTAGTTTTCAGTTGAAGACATGTAAGTACTTAAATAAAACACAGCGTTAAAAGTCAAAACAGGTTTCTGAACTTTTTGGGTTGTAACCCCTTCCAAAAACTTTCTAAAAGGAGTGTAGGTTATATAACAGATTAATAATGATGCCTTTTGTCCACTGGGGGCGCCAACACTAAATGAAAGTTCCTTGTAGGAGCTTTATATTAATTAAAATAAAATAAAATAATTTCAATAAAAGTCAAAAATTTGAGAAAAAGTCTGAAAACAGATTTGTGAATCAGAACTTTGTTTCATCTGACTATCCCTCAGATTTATCTGGTGACCCTTTGGAGGGGCCACGAGCCCTATGTTGGGAACCTCTGGACTAAAGCTTTGATTCTCTGCCCGAATCCGGGTTTGGGCCAAAAGCTGCTGCCGTGAAAATAATCTGCAACGAAGCAGGAAGCAGCCACCGTCAGCTGACATGTATGACATCACGTCTTTTAGCACCTTAACATGTTAATATTTGTTATGTTAGCATGTTAGCATGCCTCCTTCCTCCCCATTGATTCAGTTTCAGCTCTGAAACCGATGATGAAGCTCAGTCGATGTTTCAGGCGGAGGATCGGAGGATCAGTCCGAGCTGAATGTGAAGCAGTGACTCAGCAGCTTTCAGTCTCTGACCCACTTACAGCTTCAGGCGTCAACATGTTTTACATCTTACTGCATCACGACGCAACAAACAGCGTGAGGCCCGTTCAGAAGAGGAGAGTCTGTGCAGCTCTGAACATGAAGATGAAAAATAACTGCAGATAAACAGAAAATGATGTTAATGTTTCATACAGAGCTGATTTCTGCTGCCTCGAGCTGAAGAACCGATCTGAAATCTGTCCTTGTTCATCAACTGCTGAACAGAAACAGTTTTAAAGCTCCAATGTTTTCATTTAGTGTTTAATCACCTGAATATAAGAATAATTGTATTTTTGTTACTTAAAAATGAGACATTTTTATCTACAGAGGCAGCAGGTCCTCTTCTGGCAGAGTCCGCCATGTTGAACCGCCATGTTTCTCCTTTTGAAGGGGAGGGTGAAGCGAGGGAGTTGCAAACAACTACACCACTAGATGCAACTAAAATAGCAGTTAAGGCAGCTACATTAGCAGTTGGCTAACGGCAGCTACATGTCAGGATATTATTGGTTGAAATCAGTTAGTTCATGCTGATGTAAGCAGTTTACAGGAAGACACAATGATTGGATTTTATATAAAAGTACAGAGAAATTGATTTTTTTTGTCATAAATTGTTAAATAAAGGAACAATATAACTGAGGATTTGATCTTAAATGGTAAAAATGTTGATTTTGCTGGCTAACTGGATTATTAGTACACTGAGTTAAACAGTGTGTGAGTTATAAATCTGAGTGGAAGGTCTACACGTTCTCAGGACCTCACTGTGAGTTTTCTGTGTACAAATGCAGTGACCGGTACTAACGACCCCCTCTGCGATATTAACAAGATAATTTACGTCTCTTCATCCGAACACAAAGACAGACTGACGCCTACAAGTCAACCAGTTAACCCAGTTCCTCCGCTGCCGCCAGCGCTGGAGAATAAGTACAGATCTGAGGTAGTTGAGTATTTCCATTTTTATTTGATCTTCAAAGTTAAATCTTAAATTATAATATACACCTTAAAATAAGTAAAACTATATCATTAACTTGCTTTAGTAATTTGAATTAATTTTGTAATTTTTAATAATAATAATAAATAATATTTTAAGTTTCACTTCACATAAGAAATTGAATTTATGTGACTTAAAGATTTTGATTTTTGATTAACTTATCTGGTTTTATAGTGTAAGTTAATTAGGGTCCTCATAAAAACACATTTTTCCACTTTATGTCAACACAACTCATCAACAATATTGTGTATAAGCATTGGTAAACTGTCCAAATACAGTATATATATTATTATATTCAGTGTAACAATTAATTACTGTATTCACAGGAGAATGACTTTTATTACAGTTCAATTAACTTTTAAATTCACATTAAAATAATAAAATCCAATAATAACAGCACTCCGCTGTAAATTTAAGTCTGATTATTTGTATTATAGCAGAGTTCATCTGTATTTATAGATCATTGTTTTACAGTGTAAATATCTTTAGTTAAACATTAAAAAGACAGAATAACACAAGATTTTATGTAAAATTAAAGCTAAAAATTGTATTTTAATTATAAACAATTTAATAATTTTTACGAGTATGTTTTTTTCTGTTATTTCCCTCTATTTTTTATATTAATATTACTGTTTATTTATTAGTTTTACATTGAATTTCTGGCTCCATTTGTTTGTTTGTTCTGCAGAAAACAGTTTGTGTTGTTCAGCCCGGAGTGAGACTCACACTTTATTCACAATCTCCTCCCACACACAACCAGCAGCTGAAATGATTGAGGAGCTTCAGCTTGTTGAAAAGAACTCTGGGTAATAACGGCCCGCTTTAGACGAGCCGGATTCACCAAAAAACACTAAATCACAACGAGGAACTTGAGTTTGATTTCCAGTCCCAGGCGTGGCAGCCGGGTGGGGTTTACCTGAATGTGTATGTGTGTGTGTGTGTGTGTGGTCTGATGGTGGGAGGTCTATTTCAGTGCGTCTCTCTCTCTCTCTCTCTCTCTCTCTTTGTCTCTCCCACATTCCTGCCAGCTGATTGGATGGCTGGGTTTGGTAACCTAGCAACCTTTAGATATCTCCCAGCATTCCTCTGGAGTTATCTCCTGTCCCAGCAGACGGACCAATCTGCTGGACGAGAACCTGTACCAATCAGATCAACAGATTTATATTTAAACAAACAAACAAACAAACAAATAAATAACCAGAGGCACAACCAGTCAGCTTCAGTCAGGATTCCTTCAGTGTTCATTCATCATTATAAACCACTAAAACCACTG